TCTAGAACAAGAGGTCATAGTTTTAGGATAAATGGTAGAAGATTTAAAACAGATGATGAGAAATTACTTCTCTCAACGTGTTGTAAATCTGTGAAATTTACTTTTTCAGAGTGTGTGGATGCTGGGACATTGAGTAAATTAAAGGAGGAGATAGACAGATTTTTAATTAGTAACTAGTCAAAGGGTTATGGAGGATGGGTAGGAAAATGGAGTTGAGGCCATGATGAGGTCAGCCACAATCCTATCAAATGGCAGAGCAGACTCAAGTGGCTGAATGGCCTACTTCTGCTCCTAGCTCTCATTTTCTCCTTTCCTCAGCTAACATTTACACCTATTTTGCATATCTTTCACTCTGTTACCCACCATTATCACTGCCTTTTCTCTTGCTCTAGGCATGCTCACCATCTGTTTCACTTGCTCCTCCTCCTTTGTCACAAGCATGAGAACCATAATATTCCAGCTCCTTTCAGTTCTGCAGAAGATTCATACTGGACTCGAAACATTAACTCTGTTTTTCTCTCTACAGATGCTGCCAAACTTTACATTTCTCTGTTTTATTTCAGATTTTCAGCATGTGCAGTATTCTGCTTTTATTCAATTAAATATCCCTCTTGTTGAATAAGGTAATGATTCTGAAAGAGTTAATATTGAAGACTGTTTTAAGACCCATCCAATCTGATAAAGGCATACAGTCATGGATGGAGAATCATGGAGTAGAACTCATTGGTGCCAGACGGTAACATGAAGCGTCTTCACCCTGGATAATATTATTTTGATTTGACTTTTTAAAATTTCTGTTCTAGTTTTGTAAGTTTAGATTGACTGTTAGGTTTTGGTTTTGTTACAGAGTGCCACAAGGGGCTGTTTGACTTGATTAATGTTTTCTTTAAGTCCACTGTTTTTTGTCATTTATGAAGATGATTTGGATATGAATATAGGAGGTATGGTTAGTAAGTTTGTAAGTTACACCAAAATTAGAGGTGTAGTTGACAGTGAAGAACATTACCTCAGACTACAACAGGACCTGGATCAGATGGGCCGAGGAGCAGAGACAAGTTTAATCTAGATAAATGTGAGGCGTTACATTTTGATAGGGGCAAATCAGGGTGTGACTTATATATTTAATGGTATGGTCCTGGGGAGTGTTGCCGAACAAAGAGACCTTGGAATGCAGGTTCATAATTCCTTGAAAGTGGAGTCACAGGTAGACAGGATAGTGAAGAAGGTGTTTGGTATGCTTGCCTTTATTGGTCAGTGCATTGAGTATAGGAGTTGGGAGGTCATGTTGCTGCTGTACAGGACATTAGTTAGGCCTCTTTTGGAACACTGCATGCAATTCTGGTCTCCCTGCTATAGGAAAGATGTTGTTAAACTTGCAAGGGTTCAGAAAAGATTTACAAGGATGTTGCTAGGGCTGAACGGTTTGAGCTATAGGGAGAGGCAGAATAGGCTGGGGCTATTTTCCCTGGAGTGTCGGAGGCTGAGAGGTGACCTTGTAGGGGTTTATAAAATTATGAATGGCATGGATAGGGTGAGTAGACAAGGTCTTTTTCCCAGGGGAGGGGAGTCCAAAACTAGAAGGCACAGGTTTAAGGTGAGAGGGGAAAGATTTAAAAGGGACATATGGGACAATTTGTATATGGAATGAGCTGCAAAAGGAAGTGGTGGAGGCTGGTACAATTACAACATTTAAAAGACATCTGGATGGGAATATGAATAGGAAGGGTTTGAGGGATATGGGCCAAAAGCTGGTACATGGGACTAGATTAATTTAGGATATCTGGTCGACATGGACGAGTTGACCAAAGGATCTGATCCAAGCCGTACATCTCGGTGACTCTGTAATTCTATGAATTTAGAAAGATGGATTGGTGGGGCAGCAATCTACCCCAGCCCCATCTACCTGTGGTTGTTTCCACAATCACACAACAAAGCTAACCTTCTCTGTCCTGACTAGAACAATTGCATTTTCTAAAGTTTATCTCCCTGGAGTTAATTTGCTCATTTCTAGTACTGTTCTTGTAACTGTCTTCAACACTCATTCCAAGATCTTGTGTGTAATAAATACTGTTTTGGTTTGTGGAGCTTTTTGTTTGGAGTATCACTGTTTCCATTTTTCTTTCATTGCCCCTATTAGGGCTGTCAATTCTTCATTTTCTGCAACAAACATAAAGTAAACACAGCATAATGCTGATAACAGCAGGAACCTGCTGATAGGAAAAGAAAATGCTGCTTTAAAATACGGCAGTCCGTGTGTAATCTCTCACTTAACATGAATACTCTGTTCTTAATATCCTTTCTTTTAGATTGCATTTGTCATCTGAACATTTAATCTTAGCTAAAGATTACTGCATTAATATTACTATCATGAATGTACATTAAGAGGTCATTACAAAGCATTGAAACTCTTGATCAGGAGCTCATTCTCCATAAAGATACTAAATTCTCTTTATTCAATAAACTTTACAAGTGCTGACTGAAACTTTATTAGAAGATATGGTTTCAAGAGCCTGCACAACATCTCTTCACATGAGCTTATTTTATATTGTTTCATACACTCTTGCATCTCCCATCATATCCTCAAATGGAAAACTTGAACATCAAATAGAAAACACTGGAAACATGGAGCAGGTCAGGTGACAATGATGGAAAGAGGAAGATTGGTGTAAGGTCAGAGAGCCAAAGTTTTGGCGTGTGACTCCTTCTTCAGCTGGCACCCCCGTCTCCCTGACAGTCTGAGGTACCTGGAGGGAAAACACAGTCCCTCTTGTCTTGCTATTTGATGCTGAGCACTCATGGCTAGAGTGATGGAGTGCATGTCCATGCACATTTCCAGCAGAAATGATTGGATCTGGATATTCATGGTAATCACTAACCTGTCCATGTAGAGAGACAGCCAAATGCATATATGCTAGAGCCAGCATAACATTGGTGAACTCCTCAACCTTTGATCCAGTTTATTGAGTGCCTCTGACAAACTTGCCTGCTTTCACTGTGCCTGTTTGTGCATTTTGACGTCTCTTGCATTCCTCTGAGTGCCAGAGGCCACTGGGGAATTCCTTCCTCAAAAATCTGTGGAGACACGTCAGTGATGTACTCCCCAGACTGAGCGCCAGAGTCTAATCTAACGAGTACCCACTGAGGAAAAACTCTGTGAGCTGGAGGTGGGTCCAGCTGAAAGCCTTGGCAGTACATTTCAGAGTGTTTAGTGTAGACCTCCTTAGAGGTGGAGGTGGAGCTAATTGTCTCTGGTGCTGATTCTCCTCAGTAGTACACTGGGTGTCTCTCATGACTGCATAAGGGAATCAGTTGAGAATTAGATGTCTAAGAGGGATAAAAGCTTGTGTAGATTGAGAATGCATTTGCAGTGATGGTTCATGGGAAAGTAGTACTGCGCAGTACAATAAGGTTTCCTGGGTTGACTGGCCATTGAGGTCTCTCCATTCACACTTTGAGAACAGTTCATTTGAGAAGCTTCTCCTTTTTAAAGTGTCAAGCCCAATGGTTACCACCTTGCCCTTCCTTGCCGCTAGTTGTTGTTGTCTTGGCCCAGTCTGTGTCGCAGTTAAGCAAAGGGATTGAGGTTGGTGGAAGCGGATGGAAGAGCAGTTAGTGGTGATTCATGCAAATGAGAGGTGGAGAGCTGTAGCTACTGAATGAGTAGAAGGTGCAGAAGGCAGGACGGGTTAGCAATGGGTGAGAGCCATTGACTGGGTATGATGCATGCAATAGTGAGAGTTATATTCAATAAGCTTTGGTGAGAGTGAGATCATTGGCAGAGTTAGTATGTTGTAGCACAGCAGCATGAAGTAGCAGAGATAAGATGTTGACCTTTACACTTGCAGACTACAGTAGATCAGTGACTGTTTTCCTTTACTGATCACCACCCCTTCTGACTCAGGACATAGCACTGACCTGGGTTGCCATCTGGGTCCAAGCTGGCTTGGGCTGGTGGTGGTCCACAGGTAAAAGGTCAGCCTTCCTTTCCACCAGCCAGACCAGCAGCGCCTCCGGTTCCCTGCCTGCAGAGCGAGAAGCAAGCTTTCCTTTCCTTTGGGTCATAGTGCTTTAGTACCACAATATGACGGCCAATTCTTGGCTTACAGCATCTTCTGTGGTGTGCAGCTGGGCTTTGCATGTGGTGCCAATGACATGAATGTCACAAGGTCCCAGCAGTGGAATGCACTTCCACCTCTCCTGCCATGTGATTCCATAAGATGGGTGCCCAAGAGCCCAGGTACATAGGTAATGAGTTGATTCCATGAGGAAAGAGCCATGATGGACTGGGCACCGTGAATTTCACTCGATGAGACACCTCATCTGAAAATGGGAGAATTCCATTCCATGTTCCACTTTTATTTTTTTTGGTAAACTGAAAGAAAAATCAAGTTCACGTTTTCTCTCATTTGGTTGCACTGCTGAAATATGACAGAAAAGTTATTTGTTGATTAAAAAGAAAGGGCATCTCACTACAGTTTGGAGGTCTTGTAGCTACGTGGCTAGCATACCAGCCTCTGGGTCAGTCAGGTTCTGGTCACACCCTAGGACTTGATGATCAAGTAAGGTGCATTTATAAGGGAGCCAGGCAGGTTGAGTATCAACCTGTAAATCCCTCCAACAGATGCCAATGGCAGGTGGTAAGAGCAGGAGAGAGTTCTCATCTGCTGTGAGATGGAAATAAAATTGGAGCCACCTCTACCATGACTAATCATTTTTCTGGACTACAACATGTAAAAGTGCATGTTGCTATTGTAACTTGGACATCCTGAGTAAAATGTGACATACATATCACAAACGACAACATTTTTGATTTTCTTTTTGAACATGCCACTTTTTTTAAAAACTGAAAAATTGCCTCGACCGAAAACATTAACTTTGATTTCTCTTCACGGATCCTGCCAGGCCTGCTGAACTTTTCCAGCAATTTCTGTTGTTGATGTCAATTGTTTTACTGTGTTCCTATAAAGGTGCGAGTTCTGTTCTATCTTTATCTCTTTCAGGTTTGCAGAGACAACTTATAATTATGATTATATGTCTCCACTCAATTTTATTCCAGCTCAAGTAAGTTTGAATTGACTTCTGCTAACTTTGTGGCCTAACTGTGAGCATAGTTCCATGCAATGTATTACTAAATGTAGCCTTCCTTTTCCCCCGAACCCTACCTCCCTAAGTGCTTCAGCGTTGGTTTATCTTGGCATCCATTAGAACTTCTGTTGCTTAATAGCTAGCAGAAACTGGCCCACCATCATCATCCAAACACTTTGACACCAATAATTAGGCACCCCTGTAATCTTTTCCATTACAGCACAGCCAAGTGGAAATTTTTATGCTTAAAAGCCAAAATATAAGGTACTACAGTACAGTATATTTTTCTGATTATATTGGTATGAATAGGCTTGATGTTGGTGAATAAATGCCACTTTAGGCAGACATGACTTCTCTGCCATTAATAAAATTGCAATTAGCGGCTTCTTCCAGTTTTGTTGTAATTTATCTATTCCATGCAAAACACACAGCCCACAAGCTGGAAATTACTGACATATTACCAACTTTGTCAGTGCAAAACATTAAACTATTGAAACATGAGAAGGCCTGAGCATGACATGCATCAATTGTCAGCCACAGCTCAGTGGATAGCATTCTTGCCTCAGGATCAAAGGTTGTGAGTTTAAGTCCCACTTAGCAGCATTGAATACAAGATTAAGGAGGTACTGCATGCTCAGAGATGTCATTTATCTTTTAATGAGATGTGTTAAACTCCGGTCCCATCTCCTCTCCTCTCTGACGTGAACAAGAAATATTCCATGTTACTACTGCTCCCTGTTTCCCAGGGTGTTGTTTATCTTTCAAATGATGTCACTAAAACAGAAGATCGCATTGATTCGGGATCTTGCTGTGCGTAAATTGGCTGCCACACTTCCTACATCTCTTCAACAATATTTCCTTGCCCATAACGCATTTGTGGTGCACTGAGGCTGTGAATGGTAATAGACAAATAAAATACTTCCTTCTCTGTATTGCTCCACAAACCCATAACCAACCAGTACACTCTACCTGTAATGATGGAGGTTGAGGTTGAAAACATTGCATGCTGCCACACACACTGACACAGATAGCTGTTGATGCAATAGCATTGAGTCATCATTAGTTTTAAGTGGAGCCCAAATTCCTTCCAACCCTCCCCTCCAATTTTCAGTTCTCCCTGAGCCCCACTCTTGCTTTCTCTTATTGGCCCCTTGGTGTTTGCAACTTCCTGCACAACAGCTTTTGGTGTGGAGCCATGAGCAAAACCACGTGACTATAATGGAGCCAAAAATCATGTGATCCCCAACAAATACTTCCACTCTGAACTAGTGCAAGAAGAGGAGTAGGTTATTCAGCCCCTCAAATCTGGTATGACATTCGATGAGATCATGATTAGACGTCGACGTTCACACCAGCTCTGTAATCCTGAATAGCTATAGCTAACCAAAATCTAACACAGTCATTTTAAAGCTTTAAATTGACCTTCCAAGTGAGTCTGTGCCACCTGGCCTCAAAATGTAACCCTTCTACCTTCAGTACAATGTTAGTAAATTTCTAGGATCACAAGGGGAAGTGTCATGCTACAATCATCATCATTATTATGGAATCCCCATGGTGTGGAAACAGGCCATTTGGCTCAACAAAGTCCACACCAAGCCGCCAAAAAGCATCCCACCCAGACCCATTGCCCTGCCCTATCTCGGTAATCCTGCATTACCCATGGCTAACCAACCGAGCCTGCACATCCCTGAACACTATGGATAATTTAGCATGGCCAATGCACCTAACTTGCATCTCTTTAGACTGTGGGAGGAAACCAGTGTACCTGGCAGAAACCCACACAGACACTGGGACAATGTGCAAACTTCACATAGACAGTTGCCCGAGGCTGGAATTGAACCTAGGTCTCTGTAAGGCAGCACTGAGCCACCATGCCACGCCAAGGATGTAATTTTACAGGCATTACTGGGATTGATTGAAGCAGTTTACAAATTTTCTGTCCTTATTGGCAATCATGCTGAGGATTCTGAGCATATAAAATCAACAGGCAGAAATGTCCTCTAGACCACTCAGACTACTCCACACTTTATAATGACTTCTCCTTTCAAACCGCCACCCCCCCCCCCCCCCCCCCCAACTTCCCTTCTCCTCTTCCCCCCACAGGAGGAGGCTCCTAAGGAACCTGGTGATTATAGAAGATGCCATTCACAGTTTGTTGACACAGATGATTATCGTCGCCATGGCCGGAACACCTGGATTAATGAGAGTGGAATATATGCCAATTCTGAACTGAAGAAAGTCCTCTCCCCTCTGTCCAACCCAATAGCTACTCGTTTGAAGTAAATCTGCAACCTTCACCATGAACCTTTATACTTGAAGAGGAGTTGATCCTTTCCTTTGCGTATCTGCATGACAGTGCTTATTCATTGATTTTGGCAATTTTATAATACATTTGATTGTTGTACTGAGATTGCTATTTGCTTAACAAACCATGAAGGTATAAACTACTGCTTCTTGAATTGTTACAGTTCGTCGAAGTCACACTCGATGTGATTTCTCCTTCCTCTACCATCTTGCCTTAGGGCTTGGAGTGGACGAATTGTATAACTGCCTGACAAGCCAGCATTTAGCCAGCTGAATTTGTCAAAAGTCAAGTCAAGATCATTGTCAAAGACATAGACAGTTTGGAACATTTCTTGCTTCATTTGCTGTGAACAATTGAACAAAGATTTGTTTGTAGGTTGGATCAATGCATTAAAAACAGAGAAAAGTTCCATACTGTTAATACATACTAAATGAAGAATTTACAGTTAAAATTCCATAATCAATAGTATAGTAATGATTGACCAGCCTATGTGTAGATTGCACACTTGACTGCATTCATCATTTTTAAAATATTTCACCCATTGATGCAAACTGTGTAAAGAAATAAGCGTGAAAGTTATTTACATTCTATTGTATGGAAATAAGAACAAATTTGAATGTATGAGACTTCAGTTTATAGAATACAGAATTGTTGTGGAAACTGAGCCAGGTATGTTAGACAGTCAAGTAATCTCATTAATTCCAGCATTGTTATTGGGTGATTAACCAAGTGTGGGTCTATTTCTCTTCCAATGCTAGGATATGGGCATGCTGCAGCAACACAATTTTCCAATGTACTGCTGGACAACTTGACATCTTACACCTTTTCTAAACTTCAGCTTATCCAAAGATCTGTTACCTGCATCCTAAATTGCACATCCTAACATGCACGGTCACCATTCACCCATCACCCTTTGTTTCCAGTGAATTATTGAGCTCCTGGTTAATCAACACCTTAGTTCCTACTCTCTATTTCTGTGATCATTCTTGGCTCCTTGACAATCAATGTTCTCTGCACATATCCAATTGTGGCCTCTTAACCGTCCCCAATTTTAATTGCTCTACCATTAGCAGCCATGTCTTCAGTTGTGTGGGCCCTAAGCTTTGGTCTACCCTTACTAAACCTCTCCATCTTTCTCTCATTCTTAAAACACTCCTTAAAACTGTAACTGTTTGACAAAGCCTTTGTCTCCTTATGTGTGCAAATTTTGTTTGATAATGGCTCTTTTTTACTGATATAAGGGCGCTTTATATATACACACAATTGCTTAATGCAGTATTCATTAATTCATTTTTTCTTCTTTGTATATTTTTAATGTATTTATCACATCAGTTTCTGTCAGGGAGCTTTAAGATTCACAAATGTTGGCATGTTATCATCAACTCCATTGTGATATCTTACACAATCACCAACAGAGAGCCACCCCCATCCTCAAAGAATTATTTGGTAGCATTGGCACCAGATATGTCAGCAACAAGCAGTGAGAGCATGTCAAGGAGTGGAAGTGAGGGGCATTGTTGTCCTATCACAGAAGGAACCTCAGGATACAGCCTGTGTTCCCATGAAGCTGACCATGTATGCAGCCAAGCGGCAAACTGGGGAGGACCACATGGGCCATGGTTCATTTCAAGGGGCTGTTCATTGACAAGAAAAAACTGGCTGCACACAACTAAATCTTGAAGGGAATATTAGGTGTGTGCTTCGGGCTCAGTGTACAAAAGAGTGATGATTCAAAAACATTGAAAGATGTAGAGGTAATTTCCACCAGATATGGGCATCTTTTCTCTGGAAAAGAGAAGATCGAGGAGTGACCTGGTCAGGGACTTTAAAAATTTGAAAGGGTTTGATAGGGTGGCTGTATGTTTCCACTTGTGGGGGAGACCAGAATGAGAGAGTATCAATATAAAATAGTTGCCAAGAAACCCAACAGTAAATTCAGGAGAAACCTCTTTACCCAGAGAGTGCTGAGAATCTGGGATTCATTATCACAGGGAATGGTTTATGTGAATAGTTAAGGTGAATTTAACAGGAAGCTGTACAAACACTTAAGGGAGAAAGGAACAGAAGGATATGCTGATAGGCCGAGATGAAGAGAGGTGAGAGGAGATTCTTGTTCTGCATAAAACACTTGGGCTGAATGGCCTGTTTCTGTGCTGTAGACTCTGTATTTATGATGAGAGTTAAAGGGAGAAGTTCATTACTTGCAGCCATAACACATTGTAGGAAGTCTCTTATGAATTGCATGAGTCTTATTAAGACAGCTTGGGACATTGCTGCAGCATTAAGGCTAGTAAGAAGAGCTAAGGATATCAATGACTTCAATGCTGGAATCGATCATTACTTAAGAGAATGTTTTGAATAATAACACTTTTGCAGGTATTCATCTCATGGGAAGCCTTAGGTATGACACCAGTTAGTATCAACAGAGAGTTACAAAGGGTGAGCACTCTGTCTTTTTGGAGAAGAGTAGACTGCCTGCTTCCTATTGGGACCTCATATCAGTTCAAGTGAGGAAGTCTTATCTGATCCTGACTTACCTGCACCGTCCCCCACCACCACCACCACTTTAAATGCTGAGCTACTGATGGGGCATCTATCTGGATTAGAAGCCATCCTGCAATGACAGCCTCCTCAGGGTCTTAGGCTGCAAAGGGGTAAACCATTCCAACGACCCATTCCTCAACTTCATGCCACAGGGGAGTTTTGTTATGCTGGAGTTATAAATTGGGAGCTAGAATAAGCAGAATCCTAAAATGATCTAGCACAGAAGGTGGCAATTTGGCCACTCATGCCTGAGCTGGCTCTTCAAAAGAGGATTCAAATTCATCCCACTCCTATGCATTTTCCCCATAACTCTTCGTTTTCCTCTTTAAGTATTTATTCAATTCTGTTTCCACCACACATTTATGCATAGAAATCCTGATCACCATAATTCATCCATAAAAGAAGTGCTTTCTTATGTTGCCAATCGTTTTAAATCTGTGAAGTGTGGATACTAACTCTTCTGTGTCTGAAAGGAGTTTCTCCCTATTAACTCTACCCAAACTCTTCATGATTTTGAACACCTGTTAATCTGTCCTTTAATCTATATTGCTGTAAGGAGAGCAATTCCAGCTTCTTCGGTGTCCCCTGCGGCCGAACTCAAGGGACTAGCTCATTTTATTGTGAAAGGAATTTAGCAGCAGTTCTTTTTGGGTTGGAGATTTCAGGTAGAATCCTTGAAGAACACACTGTCCCTTGCAGACCAGCCAAGTAATTGGTGACTCAAGGGATAATCTAGATAATTTTGTCCATTAATCCCTAGGTCTGTAATCTATGTGTCAGAGCTCCTGCTGTACGCCAATCTTGAGCTGTGCACAGCAAAGCAAAATATTCTCCCTTTCCTCAGTGGAAAATTTACTTCATTTTCTTTTCGTAACCACATCATTAGAAAAAATAGGTTTTCAAGAAATGGATCTACATCTTTATTTTATTAAGGTTAACAGAAGTATTTTTGTACCATGTCCAGCTGAAATTTTCATTTGGAAAACATAAGTAATAGAAACTATTTTCTAGTTTGCCTTTCCATGGTGGTTCTCTATTTGATCTCCAATTCTGTCCTCTTGACCATTCCTGATTTTCACCACTCCACCACCAATAGCCATGCCATTAATTGCTTGGGCTGTAAAGTCTAAAATACCCTACTGAATCATCTGTCTCTCTGTCTCCTTTTAAGAGTCTGTAAGGCCTACTCCTTTGACCTAACATTTGGTCCCCTAACCTTATGTCTTCTGATATACATGGGATGGGCAATAAATGCTGGTCAGCCAATGACACCCATATCCTACAAGTGAATATAAAAAGGTGTAATTTTGGTGACATTTGTGTTGGAGCATCTTGGGATGTTTTACTGTGATAAATATGCTAATAAAAATGCAAGTTCCTGTTGTCTCCTGTTGCTTTGGCACAGAAACTACTGAAACTAGGTGATAACAGCATATATTAAGTTTGCCCCATATTTGTGGTGTTTTAATGACCCTTCCATAGACATTGTGGTATGTGAATAAGAGAGTATGAAAACTTAGCCACAACATTTACTTAAGCACAGAAATCCTGCTCAAAATTGTCATACATGGACTCTGAATTCAGCATGAACTGACCTGGAAATTCCTGAAGCGGGGAATCATTACCTTTCCTCAACAACATCAAGTTGCCTTTATGTAGCATCATTTTTGTGTGGCTAATGGATGACTGACAACAACATGTAACAAAGGAGAAATTCCTCATGAGTTAACAATTGGGACAACTTGCTGGATGATTCACACAATAATAACTATTAATTTATGGGCTGCCATGGTTTGCAGGTAACATGCCATGGGGAGTTTAACTACTGTCAATGCTTTGGGTCACATCAGGAGTAGAAAATGGTCATTGACTTGAAATGCTAACTTTGTCTTTCTCTTTATATGCTGCCTGAATTCCTGAGCATTTCCAACAATATTAGTTTCCATCTCAGATTTCCAGCATCTGAAATGCTTTGTTTTTGTAAAATTTAACAGCTTTCTATTCTGATGGTTTTCTGGAAATAGAGAAGCAGTGGAAGAAAATTCTCAGGTCCTGACACTTTTTCTAATGTGTTTTTTTTACTGTAAATGATACTGGATGCTGTCAGTGGCTGCACAGTTGGAGATTATATTGCCAATAATTTGAATATTACTGAAAAGAGAGACATGTTGTTGAAATGTTTCACATTGCACTCATCAGGACAAACACAAGAATGCTGAATTTCAAACAATCACAACAATTTATAACACAGAAAAAAAGGTGCTATTGATTGGTAAGTCATCACTAATTGGCCTGGAGGAATCAGTGTGGGGAACTAAAGGCTCCCTATGTTCAGGACAAGCGCAAGACAAGCTTCAGCAGCATAGCTCTCTCTTCAACAATATTCAAGTCCTTTTAAACGACTGTCAGGCATTTAAACTCAGCTGGCATGATACACTTTGAATTGTTAGAACTGATACTTGTTAAAACATATATTCGACATTACAAAAGAATTAAGAAAGGCAACAGGTAATTTCTAAAGCTCTTTTACGGCAACCTTTATGCACTGTGAATTTATTGCCGTCTTTTCCTAAGCACTTCAAGAGGTACTTTAGAGTTTTCTGCTTTTGTCCCCTCTTCCGGAAACCATTTTGGCATTGATTTTGGGGAACATTTTCATCCTTGTATTCGAATATCTTTAAAAAAGTATACAGAGAGAA